CTCGAACTTGCAATGATCCTCTTGCCTCAGCCTCCCTAGTGCTGGGATTATAAGCGTGCGTCACCACACCCAGCAAAAAACCCAATTTTAAAAAAAATGAAAGTGGCTATATTGGTTTTATTTCTTTCTTAATACACACATGATAAAAAAATTTAGAAATTTAGAAAACCATAAATGAAAAAATTCTGCAACATTGAATTGTATATATATATATGTATATATGGATATTTTCGAGTGTTCATAAATATAGATTATTATGCTGAATAGTTACATAAATTCCCTTATGGGTGTGCCATATTGTTAACAATTCTATTGCTAGTGATCATTTACATTTCTGATGTACTCATATGTGAGATTCTGTGAACATGTGTGCATGGGGCTTTGCACACTTGCCCAATCATTGCCTAGGGGAAATTCTGAGGGGTACAACTGCAGTGGCAAAAGGCGTTTAAAGGTTTTATAGCTAGTGATAAAGTATGCATTCGCTAATTGAATTTCCATCAACAGAGATAATGCCTCATTCCTCACAACTTTATCAATGCTTTTCATCTTTTAAATAAATCTGTAAAATAATACCTTTCTGTTTAAATTAATTTTCTTTGATTACTAGTTATATTTATCCTCTTTTTGTATGTTTGCTAGAATTTTTACTTTTTATTTTGTGATTGTCCTTCATCTACTTTTTGTGTAGTAATACATTTTCTTATTGACTTACAAAGTTTTTTAACTATAGAAAGACTATTTTTAAAATCATATACATTGCAAAAACCTGTTGCCAAGTTTGTCTTCCACTTTTTAAAATGTTGGTGGTACTTTGAGGTATACTTACCTTCAGTTCTACTGGTCATTTCTTTTGTAGTTTCTAGCTTTTTAAGTCATGCTTTAAAAGACTCAAGGACGATATAAATACTTATGGCCAGGCGTGGTGGCACAGTGTGTAATTACAGCACTCTAGTAGGCTGAGGCAGGAGGATTGCAAGTTGCAGCCAAGCCTGGGCAACTTATGACTTCATGAGGGCTGAGATTATACTCAGTATGAAGGCCCTGAGTTCAATCCAAACCAAACCAAAGCGAAACAAACACAAATAAACAAAAAAATTACTTAGGCTTTCTATTAGTGCTTTTGTAGTCCTTTACATTTAAATATATATAAGGGGGTGGGGATTTAGCTCAGCGGCACAGCGCCTGCCTAGCAAGCGCAAGGTCATGAGTTCGATTCCCGGTACCGGAAAAAAAACAACAACAACAAAAAATTATAGAGGGGATTATATTAATTCCTTTGGGGGTGGGGATTTAGCTCAGTGGCAAAAGCACCTGCCTGGCAAG